GCAGAAGAGATCAGAACAGAATATTTGTCAATTAATGCTTTATTGACCATAAAAGCTTTTTGTGTCCACAAAAGTACTGCTAGACAAATCAGTTTGAAGGAACACTGTTTATTGTCAATATTTTGCAGAGTTTCTTTGGTTTTTTTTTTGCTATGCAAAGTCACAGAGGGTGAACTTATGAAAGATTTTTTGCATGCAGTTTTGATGCAAGTTTCATGTAAGTGCAATACTGAGCAGCAGTTTTCTAGTGTCTTGCAGGCAGAAGATCTGTTGTACAACATGAAGTAAAAGTTGCAGTAGCCCATAACTGGTGGAAGAGATTAAAATAAGCTTCAAGCAGCAATGCTTGTGTCTCCTGAAGTGGCAGTAGGACAAAAGACTTGAAGTCAACTAGGGAACATCTGAAAAACATATTCGTGTCTCTCTCACAGTAGTTGTCTGTAAAGGACTTGAGAAGGGTCATATATTTATGTAAAATACATGAAGCATCATAAATGTATTTGCATTACAGAATTTCAAAAGGTACTTCTGTTCACAGTAAGGTATTTATTTTTTTTCTTTTTCCTAGGTTTAACAATCTGTGGGCATAACTGTCTGCTAACTGCTGAATGGATGTCTGCCAGTAAAATCGTGTGTCGAGTCGGACAGGCTAAAAATGACAAGGGAGACATTATTGTTACTACAAAGTCTGGTGGCAAAGGAACTTCAACTGTTTCCTTCAAACTGCTTAAACCTGAAAAAATAGGTATTTTTTCTTCTTCACATCGGGTTTCTTTGCTAAACAAATACATGACTGAGTGGCTCTTTAAATAAAACGTATGTTTAAGATGGATCCACCTCAGGACAATCTAATTGTCTAGAAAAAGCAGAGTATATCAATAAAATGTGCAAATATATACATAGATAAACTCATTGTATATGTGAAATTAATCCTTCTGTCTCAATATCCTGATAAAGCCTTCAATGACTAATGAATATTAGGCCTTTATTTTTCTGTAAGGAGAAGCACTAAACTTCTAAAATGAAAAAAAAAAATCATAACAGATCCAGTAATTACTCTTAAGTGTGTTACATAAATACAAAATATAAACCAGCTCATGAGCTTTACACCTAAATCCTAAGCTGACAGTTGATGCCTTAAAAAAAGTTGAGTCCTAAGTGCTGTTTCTTATTTATAATTCAAACCATCCTGCAAGGTGGAGAGTCTTAAATGTTTCTCTGGAGGTGCTTAACCATTAAAATGATGTTGCCAAGCAGTCTAGGACCTCTGCTTAATCTAGAATCCAGTCTAAATACCCTCCGGATTGGAAGTGTTTCTTTCAGAACACCTTTATTGATGAAGTTGGGTAATTATCTTTTCTGACACAGGGGCTCTTACAAGAACTATTTTAGGTTTTTGTGTTCTGCGGTTCAGTGGCCATTAAATAACGCGTAATTTCTCCCAAGCTGTACTAAAATCTTAATAATAGAAAGGTGATTCAAGTGCAAATGTTACACAGTGAAGCTTTTGGTGATGGGAGAGGAGAATTGATATTTTAAAAAATGGGTAGGTGTGGGGATGGGGTAGCTTCTGGTGTTGAGTTTCTGGTAGGTATGTTAAAGAAGGGCATGGCCAAGAATATGGCTGGCTGCATTTCTGACTGAGGGCCAGGGCCTGGTGTGCCTCACCTTTACACATTGTCCGTGCTAAGGCTTTGGATGCAGTTCGTCCTGTGTCCGTTGAGTCATCCATATTGACATGTGGCCAAAGTTCACTTACTTTTTCGTTAGTGAGTGGCACAGAAAAGGGATCTTCACTAAAATATGGAAGTAATGGAGACTCTGGAGTCCCCAACACGAGAAGGACATGGAGCTGCTGGAGTGGGTCCAGAGGAGGCCACAAAGATGATCTGAGGCCTGGAGCACCTCTGCTATGAAGACAGGCTGAGGGAGTTGGGGCTGTTCAGCCTGGAGAAGAGAAGGCTCTGGGGAGACCTTCCAGCAGCCTTCCAGTACCTAAAGGTGGCCTACAGGAAAGCTGGAGAGGGACTTTTTACAAGGGTGTGTGGTGATAGGACAAGGGGTAATGGCTTTAAACTGAAAGAGGGGAGATTTAGATTGGATATAAGGAAGAAATTTTTCACTCAGAGGGTGGTAAAGCACTGGAACAGGTTGCCCAGAGAAGTTGTGGCTGCCCCATCCCTGGAGGTGTTCAAGGCCAGATTGGATGAGGCTTTGGGCAACCTGGTGTAGTGGAGGGTGTCCCTGCCCATGGCAGGGGATTGGAACTAGATGATGATGGAGTTCCCTTCCAACCCAACCATTCTATGATTCTAATAAGACGACCTCCAGGTATTTACTCATTTTGAAAGTAGTAGATGACAAGGTTTGGACAAATACCAAAATACTTGGAGGAGAGAAAAATACTAATACTCTGATCAGGAAAACGCTCTTAATGTACGTGAAACTGCACACTCTGGAAGAGGTAACGTTTGATGCCTAGCCATGAATACCTTTTCAGCAGCTGTAACAAAATAATTTAGCATAATTGCATCCAGTTGTTTTGTCACGTGTCGTCCACTTTATTACCTAGGCATGCATTTTCTATTTATCGGGATTTTTCAAATTAATTCAGTATGTTCGAAGTTGATGGTGCTGGACCGCCCTTGTTGTTTTAAGGATCTGCACTTTGTTTTCCCTAGGTATCTTGGATCAGTCTGCTGTCTGGGTGGATGAAGTGAACTATTATGACATGCGCACTGATAGGAACAAAGGGATTCCCCCCTTGTCCCTGCGTCCGGCTAATCCGCTTGGTATTGAGATAGACAAGTGAGTACCAAATACCTTTAATCCACTTTTTTAGTGGTTTTCTCTAGATGTGCCTTGGTGAATTCCAGAAAAGTTTAACAGTTTACAGGGCAGGGAAGGATTTAAAAATACATACACGTATTAGCTGTTGGTATGCTACTTGGTGCTCAAGAGAGTTGTTGGTGCAGATTCTATCCTGCTCCATAATTCGCATTTTGAGATCATCAATTAGAACTGTAGATAATCTAAAAGCCTGATATATTGAACCCCAGTGATGTTTAGATTTTGAGGATTGGTAAATAACCTAAGGCTTTGGATTTATACATTGTAGTTATGGAATACCTACTGTTGCATTTGAGTTTCATGGGGCTTTTAAGGATGTTTAAAGTGCTATCTGTTGCTAAAATTGCACTGTAAAATGTGATTTATTATACCACATTAACTAGTTTATTTTTTTGAAATATTAATACTGTTTCCAACCCACAGACTTCTTTACTTTTGTTCGTAAGTGTGGTGGAATTTGACTTTTTTTCTGAAATAGAAATTTTATAGTGAGTGATAAATGGAATTAGAGAGCTTTAAATGGAACACTCTTAGGGCTCCAAACCTGGTAGCTCCTAGAAATAGCATCAGGAATAATATTTCTCTTGATCAAAATACAAGCTCTACCAAAAACAAAGGCTATGAAAAATTAAACTATTCCTAGGGATCTCATCTGATGAATACTCTGTGAGTGGGAGTGCATTCGAGAAGATACGCAGAGTCCATTGTTACCTTGTTCTGATGGGGAAACTGCACTTTCCCAAAACCTGTATGGGATTTCTAGTGGATCTGTCATCAGCTTCAAGCCTCTGACTGTGCATATATTTCCTAATTTGAATGCGTTTTTCTTTCTTTTCAAAGTACTAACCCAATTTTTTGTAATAAGCTGAAGATTTTGTTCTCTTTTGAAGTGTTTTTCTCCAGCCTCTGACATAACTTCTGGCAGATACTTCTTGCTTCTTCACCAGTTTTCCAACTCTGTTAAAATGTGGACTCTAGGACTGTGCACAGTATTCCAGTGTCTTAGCAGAAGACTTCCTGTCTCTCCTCCACTCTCCCTCCCTTCTTTGTAAATTAAAAAACCCATAATAATCCTTTTTACTACTGTGCTGCACTGGCAACTAGCAGCGAGTGGCTTGTTGCAGATTCACTTGAGTAGCCACTTTTTCTGCTGGTGTGGTCGTTCGTTGTTCTGTAGGGATAGCCTGGATTCCTTTATCCTAGCTTTATCTTTTTGCATTTGACCTGTGTTCCTCTCTTTGTTGTTTCCATGACAAGTCTGTCTTCTCAGTCCAGATGACAGTCTTTCTTAATATTTTTACCAACTATTTATAAAATATTTTTGGTGATAAAGCTGTTATTGGAGATGATGCAATCTGTGTGATGTATTCTATTGGCATTGCATAAAACTAAGTTTTTAATCAATCTCATGGTAGCAAGTCTCCTTTAAAATGGCAATATATTAATTTTGTCTGGTGTTTTTTTCAATGAAGCACTTAATCTCAAAGCCCATATAATATGTCTGCAAACATCATGTGAAATAGTTGACTGGCTGACATTAAAACTCATTTTCTCTGCTTTAATTATCTGTATTTGTTGAACCCTGTGACAGCTTTTCCATTATTTTATTGGGGATTTAAGTTAAATAGTTCTATTACATAGTCCTCTATTGATAGGTTTCTCACGGTACTTCTTTCTATAAATACAATGGTTATGACATAGTTGCTTTTAATTGATCTAATTTAACAAAACTTCTAATTTTAACTGTGTTTGACTTCATAACCAAAATCGATAGTTCTTACAGTTAAGACAGTGTCAATGTGATAGATGAAGAACTGTCTTTGTAAACCTGAACATCATTATTTTAGGATTTGTTTAATTTAGAGTCATCTGTTTCGATGTTTGTTAAATAGGAAACCAATGATATAATATTTTTAAATGTTTCATCTGAAAGCGTTAGAAAATACCGTGTTAGTGATCCTCAGATTTTGTGGGAAAAAGTAGGAAGTCAGAAACAGGTAAATACAGATAGGAAGTAACCTTTTGGGGGTGGAGGAGGGAGAAATAGGGAACTATCTGGGTAGGCATAGTATCAAGCCTAGTTTATTGTTAGTTGAGATCCAGGTTCACCTCCAATGAACTTGGAGGTGAAGCACGGAGACTATGGCAAGCACTGGTGTTGAAAATGACCAGTTTGAGAGAAGGAATGCTGGTCAATACAACAAATAGTTGTGTAGAGGGATTGAGTGGCAAACTGCGGAGAGGGAAAGGGAGGAAAAGCCTGGTCTGCCTTTGTGCTACGGGTGACAGCAGCACAGTGTTAATAGTTGTAACTACAGATGGAACATTGAGTGTTTAATTAAAAAGCCTCTCCCCAGTGGAGAAGCTTTCCTAATTTGCTTGAAAAATTGGAGCGATGTGATGTTTACTTTTATAAAATAATCTCTATTACCATATGGTTTAACTAAACTCACATGTTTGCGAATACTTGATGAATGGGGTAGAAGAGTAATGAGAAGTTTCACAAGGTAGTGAAAAAAGGCAATTATAAATTTAGGAAGGGAGTGGATAAACAAGATATTAGCATTAACCGTTACTAGACACGGGAATAAATTTTCACTAGAAGTGATACAAATTGTTAGAATTTTGGGATGCTTTAAAATAAAAGCCTAATGGGATGAAGAACAGTTGGGTATACAAGGAGATGGGACTGCAGCATAATAAGTCTCTTCTTTATTAATACCTTTGGCTTCTTTATTCTGATTTGCACACATTTAAAAACAGCTTATATTTTAATTTTGAAGCTGAAATGTTTGGCGTTGGTCTGACTTGGTGGGATTTACGACTCTAGCAGGCAGATAAGGAAGGGAAGGGAGTGCTTGTGTTGGTTATGCAAGTAGTGGTAAACAAAAGAAACATTCAAAGAGAGGACCAGGGAGAAAACTGGTGAAAAACAGGTGTGAGAAAACACGATAGGAATAAGCTAGATGGGAGTATGCTGAAGAGAAGACAGGAAGTGGGCAGACTACAGACTGAAAGAGAAAGTCTTCCCTATAGAAAGTTGTTGTCAGTCATCAGCAAATGATACAGAAAAGACAATCTACAGCATAGGATAGAGATAGATCATCTATACGTTGTGATCTTTTGATTTTTAATTTAAATACAGGTTATGCTTAGTTCTGAAACTTCCTTTTGTGGGTTTTTTTAAACACTGTTTGTGATACTTTGTCCAATTAAAATGTGTTTAAAAATTAGTCATAGCTTTTGAATCATTCAGGTGGGTACTTTCAAGGTGTTCCAAATGAGACATTGAAGTACTAGGAAAAAAGATCCCGTAAGTCACGAACAGAAGTGCTTTAGTACAATATTTCATTAAACTATTAGGCAAGCACAAAGACAAAAAAAAAATATTTATTCTGACTCAGTAGACCTAAGATTGGAGTTTAATTGGGAGTGACTGAGATTTAAATGAACAAAAGATTTGAACTGTGAATCAAGGGAAATAGATAATAGTGTATCTAACACATTCTACTACTAATTAGAATACTACCTATAGATAGATTGTAGGAGTAATATGTATATTCAAAATATGCACAGAGAAACTGGAATTCTTTCTTCATATTCAAATGTTGCCAGGATGCAAAAGTAAGAACTATGTATATACCCTCATCCTCCTGTTTGTTTTTATACATCATCAAGATATTTTACGTGTTGTATGTATACACAGTGTGCAAGCCACCATCTTTTAGCCTGCAAGTTTAACAAGTAGTAAGTATACATAATTTCTGGCTGAGAGTTTCTTCATATTTTCCGAGAACTAATTGCTGTTCTTGTGCCATACAACTAAGAATCTCAGTTGCTAAATACTAAAACCATTTATATTGTAATGAAACTTGAACTTGCTGGTTATTTTGTTTCAGTGGTGGTTCTTTAAGTCACAAATGCCTCCATAGAAGAGTGTTTGCACACATTGTTCTCCTGCCTTGCTAGTAGTTGTTCATCTTTCAAAACACATAACTGATCCAATTAGATGAGTGTTTTTACATTCCTGTCACTTAATGCATGTTGTGTGTATGCTATGAAGTATTTCCTTCACACTAGAAAATAGGTATTTGAAATACTTCGAGTATCTTCGAGTTCTAGTTTTTTAATTTTCAGGATGGAGTAAAGACTCATGCAAAGCTTTAGTCTTCTGTCATCATCTTTATGCCAGCTTTAGGTGCAAAGCAGGTCTGTGCCACCTTCCTCTGCTAGGAATGTTCCTGACTGTGATGTTATGTAGATGGAAACCCTTACAAAAGGCTTAAACAGCTTGCAGGAAGAGAAAGAGTATACAGAGGAGTCCCCTCAGTGTGAGAAACGTGGAAAGTTGGTATGAAAGTGTTAACATTAATAGCGATGTTGCAGTACTTGGGTTGGTTTTTGCAATTCAGAGCTGTTACAAGAGCAGGTTGGTAGGTTATGTCCTGCCAACATAGGATTGTTCAGGATTTTGAACAGTTCTGGGTGAGAGTATGGGATGCCAGTTTTGCAAAGGCACTGATTGAAATCTGTTGGTGGAAAAACTTAAAATCTACATAAGATTTGTGAATGAATTGCTTGTTCAGATGTACTGCATACTTTTCCCCTGCTGCACGACAAGTTCTCGTTTAATCAAACGTTCTGTGCCTCCTCTGCCTCCTCTGCCAGACTAAGAAAATCCATTCTCTGCAGAGCAGTAACAGCAGTCAGACCTAGTGGCGGTCAGAAAACTTGTGAACAGTGGTTGTTGTTTTGCATGTAGCAGAGGTCATTATGGTGGATCCATCTCGTACATGAAAGCAAATGCTGACATGCTAAGTACATTCCACATACTTTCGTATCCACCCACTCAATACAGATGCTTCCCTCTTCCCACGCCAGCTTCCAAAAAACAGTTCATCTGGGAGGAGGACACAGATGATCGTACGCTGCCACCTAATGGTAAATGTCAGCTTGCTACCGTGAGATGGGAAAACAATTTCTGGATGCTTTGATATTTATTTATTTGGAAGTGGCTTGTATGGAGAAGCAGTCAATTTCATCCTTGTTGGACTTGCTGCAACTTTTATCACGGAGATGCACGTGGAAGAATCGTGACACCTGTGGGAGAGAGATGCAGTTTGTAGTAGTATATAGTCCTAGTTTTATGATGTTAAAAAGTAATACTTACTGCTTGTAAGGCTGATGCATGGCTTGCGGCTATCAGCCCGTAACCTCTTAGTAGATTTCTCTTACTGCTTTCTTCCACTTCTGAAATATGATGGTCATTTTGCTGTCATACTTCTGATAAACCCAGTGATACTAGGGACTAATTGCCAGGTTGCAACCTTGTCTTTTGGCTGCTGGAAAGACCTTTGTTAACACCTTCTAATTTGTCCTGTTTAGTCTACCTCTGTGTCCCTTACACTGGTCTTGCACGCATGAGCAACGTGGTACAGCTGGTACAAAGCCTGCTCCTAGGAGTCTGACTGGTACCAGACAGAGCGGGGAGTGTACAGCAGCTCTAGCTGGAGCTTGTTTATGCTGGTTGCTGTTCAGAATCTGTGTTTATTTAAAGTTGCTCCTTTTGACCTATAAACTCCTGTGGAATTGAGGTTCAAGTTACCTTTTGGTGGCTGTATCCTGTTTTGGGACCTGCCTTTAGTCTGCACATAATGTCATGTATGCTGAAGAGCAGAGTATGAGATTCTGAAACTCTGGGAGCAAAATAATCTTTGCAGGAAAATTACAACTTGCTAAACTGTGTTGGTAGTCAGGCTCTGTTCGTTAGTACCCATTGCATTCTGTTGCTGCTACTCAATTGTGACTGCTTGGAGGCTGTGATTTACTCATGGAGATTACAGCTAATCTTAAACCTCTGGATGATATAAATGCTTGCATATGCACAAGTTTGGTAGTAGAATTTGTAAGAGCTGATAAATGCTGTGATATAAGGTTTATTGAGTATCAGGCTATACAGAACCTAAAGTTTGGGGTAGTGGAGCGAGGGACTCGTGCTGATGGGCACATGCAGTGCAAGTAAATTGATTGTAACCTGCATGTTTTGAATCCAAAGTAGATGGGAACGCTCTTTACTTGGAAGTAGCACCACTACATCTAATGCTGTGTGACTGTATTAGGTATGCTCAAAATATGTTTGAGGGAAGTAAAAGTGTATAGTGGCTTGAACCCAAATTTATTTTTATTATAGTTCTCATGAATATAAACAGTGTGTGAAAACTTAATTAGTTTTGTATTTAAAATTGTTTCTGATGGATGAATAAGACTACTTTAAAATGTTAACTAGAGGTTTAGTACCAGATCTGGTTCTGTTTTAAATAAAATAGTCTGCCTAGCAAAAAGTACCACTATATAAATCCAATATGTGTACCTTTGCTGAAATTGTAAAGGTAGCAAAATATGTAGAGTTGTCAAGGATGTAAAGTTCTCTCTTCTTTTTCTGAGGTTTTCTGGATTCAGTTTGTGGCTCCCAGTTTCTTTTCCAGTGATTGTTTTTTAATTGATGATTAAGTATTCAGAGCTGCTCCCTGAAGTGATTCTTGTATAACGAGCAAATCAACAGAAAAATGGTAAACAATTCCATTGCATGTCAGCATGGTCTCAGCTTTTACTGCTAGTTCATATTCACCCCATAATGTTGAAATGAGTAAAACAAATACTTTCTGAAGTCACATGTGTGCTCGTTTATAAGTAAACAGTAAGCAAGTTTTCATGAGAACAACTTCCAATGAGTTATTTATATAATTTACTAATGGAAGTTAATGAAACAAACTTGTAGGGATGTGGAGTCAGTCTCTTTTTAGATGCATCTGGCCAGACATTGTAGAAATACAGTTGCTTTCAGTTTGAACTCTGTGGTGAGCAGCTTGTTGTGAAGACAGCTGTAGTAAGTCATTCCAAGCTCCCCATATCTGTTAGTGGAAAAACTACTGGTGAAATTTATGATAAAAATAAGGATACTACACCATAGAGTATAACATATTGTTAACATACTGCACACATTCGTGTTCATGTTTCTACTCTGTTGTGACTAAGTCTAAAATATGTCTGCACAGATAAAAGCACCCATAAACACATTGCTAATTTATGGTTCTGCACAAGTACATCTGCTGGAAAAAAGCTCCTAATAACTTTTCAATGCAGTCAAACATCAAACTGAAAAAAACCCCCTTCATTTCTGTCCCACTGTCTGTGGACAAAACTCATTTGCAGGAATTTATGACATCTCTGGCTATATTATTGGTCTCTTTCTCTCTCACATAGTTGTTGGGGTTTTTTCCCTAGGAATTGTATAGCTCATGCATAGGCTTAAACTGTCATACATATGTCTTAGAATCTTGCAATAATAATTAGCATTTGGTAATGGTATATTTGTTGAGTGTGTGTGCTTTTTGTGTTATATCTATTTCTTTTGGCTTCTGAAAAAAATATGTTGACGTTCTGAAGAATATGAACAAAATTCTGCTTCTGTATGGTGTGCATGCAGTTATAGAGTGCGTGCACCAGAGGTCTGAGTCTCTTTTGAGGTAACTCAATGTGGTTTACTGGTTTTGTTTTAGCATTAAAGATGAAATTGGCCACAAAGATGCCACCACACATAGATTTAATATAAAAGCTTTTTTGAACAGCCATGTGAACAGATATGTGAAGTACTGTCCTGCAAATTCATGTGCCTACTGGGCGCTTTTGACTACTTTGAATGAAAAAGAAGGTATCTTTTAAATGTCTTTAAAGGAAGGATAAATTGAAACTTCTTTCTCCTTACATCCATCAGCATTTTCTGCTCACTAACTGGCATTCATGAAATTCAAGCTCATTGGTAATCCTCAATCTCACTCCTTGTGTTTATAAATTTTTGTATTAACATTATCACTTTTTCATTGAGCACAGAGAAACATTGGGACCTTCATTTTTAGTTGCTGCATTTGTTTCTCACGCTATTTTCCCTGTCTCTCTACTTTTCCTATCTGTCATCAATTTTCCTTGCATCTAATTTGATTTTTTTCTTTTTTTGCTTGTTTTTAAAAAGTATTGTTTCATGCCCCTGCTGTAGTCAAGTGCTACTGATGAAAGACTTCTGTGCCATGTCATTATGTATGTGGGTCCTTTGTACCTGCTTGTGCTAACGGCCGTTTGGGTATGAACAGAAATGTACAGAAGACAACTCTTGGTTCTGTATAATTGTACTTTCTAATGTGCCTGCCTTTAGATTTGCTTTACTTAATCTGTAATAAAATGCTTTAGCTATCTTGAAATATGTTTAGAGGACAGAAAACCCGAAACTAACAAATCATTGCTTTCGTGTCCGTTCAAATGGCTTTTCGTACGGGTTAAGTGGAACTCCAGTAGCTGACTCTGAATCGCTACCCCCACCCAAGTCTGATCTCAAATGCAAAGCACAGCAGGTTTGCACTTGCATACAGTATATAATTTGTGTATCAGAGTTCACCTAGCTTATGAGCATCAGAGAGGGATTTTGTTGACTTTCGAGTTTGATGCGTTGATCCGAAAATGATACAGCACATTTCTAGAATAGAATAGAATATTTCAGTTGGAAGGGACCTACAATGATAATCTAGTCCAACTGCCTGACCAGTTCAGGGCTGACCAAAAAGTAAACTTGTTTGCCACAATTAGTTTCCGAAGATGGGATGCAGCTGGTGCTGGAGTGGTGAGTGCACCTGGTCATGTACTGAGAATGCATGGTGGAACCAATATGGCCAAGTGTTAAGGGTGTGTCTGGACTGAGGGATGAAGATTGTCACGTTTTCATCAAAAAGTGCTTTAAATAATTTTATTACACTGACTTAAAACAAAGGGAATACATTTTATGTATAAGCATCTTAGAATCTACTTGTAGTTTCAAAAATGCTGTTGTAGAGAATCTGCTTTCGCAAGGAATTGGCTCACATGCTATCTTTATGCATTGTAAAACTGAATAAACGCAAACAAAACATGCTATTTCTCACTTCAGGCATGCCTGCTTTTCCTTTCTGTTTTGCGAACTATGAACAAACAGAACACTGTGTTCTGTTTTGCAAAAGGATGGTTTTAACTCAGTATTTCTTTCAGTGTTTGTATATAATGGAATTATGCTCCATGTATCTTCCTTCGTGTTTCTGTGGGACTTCTGCTGCACGTGGACCAAGAGACAACGATGGTGTGAAATCACTTACAAGCTGTCAACCTGGTGATGTCCTGTCATTTTAAAGTTAGATACTGGTTCATGGCTTTTAGAGGATATTCTCTCTTACTTACTTTGCTTGGTGAACTGATTTTCCTGTTTAAAAGGCAGAGTTGACTTTGCGTACATTCAGCATTAGTGGTCCTGCATTTGAAAATTAGTAGCATCGTGGGAGTCTGTCTAGTTTCATTTTTCTGAAGGCAGCAGTTCTCTTTCTTGAGAAGCATTTTGTACAGGCAGCATTTCTATCCTATGTGTAATGGTGAAATCAAAACGGTAAAATTAGTTTTACTTAGGTTGAATTTCAGTCTTTTCTTTCCCAGTCATGCTACATGCATCTGTAATATCAGATTTAATTTCATGGTGAGATAAGAGTTTATATTTCAAGCTTGTATTTACATCTTGTTGGACCTTGATTTGGTTTTTGGTTTTGGTGGTTTTTTTTTATGTGACACTTTTAATTGTAAGCTGTTCACAAGAATATGTCTCACTGAAGAAATGAATATTGATTTTTTTTCAGAGGCAGATTTCCTCAAAAAGATTTAGAGGCATTGTTTCCTGGGATGAGTGCTGATTTCACTAGTGAAAACTTTTCTGCTGCCTGGTACCTGATTGAGAATCATTCAACAACAAGGTTTGTTGCTATCTTATAAATAATTATTTTAAATGCAAGTCACATGATGTTATTTCATTATACAATAGATGTGTCGTTCGTGCTTGATATTTACAGTAAGAGACCTGTAGTCTCTACTACTTGTAGTGTTTCTGCTTAGCTACAAACTTGAATCAACTAGTTTGTTCAATGTGTTTATGTAGAAAACTTTGTTTTTAACCAGACATAACTTACGACCTCTTGTTTTGCTCGCCCCCCTGCCCCTGTGTCAGATGGAAGTTGTCTTCGGGCTGAAGCTCTTTATGAATCAAGAAGTTAGGCAGCATGGCCTTCAGTGGAAACTCCAGGTGTTAAGTCATGACTAGAGGCTAAGGATAAGGGCATTGAACAGATGACTAAGAGTAAAACTGTTAGTAGTATCAGTTAGCTTTTAGTTAATTCTTGTGGAAGATGCTGTAGGAAAAGATGTTGGACAAGTCAGTAAGATCTTTGAGGTAAATCTCTTAAAAACTTGACCATTGATGTCTTCATTTTTAAATCTAGTTCATAATATGTACTTACATGAATGCATTACATAAATAGATTTTTTTTTTAGCTGCTGGTGTTCGAATAATACTGGAAACCATTTTGAGTAGAGATGATGAGCCTTTTTTGTTAGTTTCAGCTGGGTATTCTGAGCATTTTGAAGGGAAATACCACTTTGCAAATTTATTTTTTATTTAATGGTAGAAACAGGTGTGGGTTGGTTGTTTTTTTTGTTTCTGAGGGACAAGGTGAGGGTGTTTGGTTTTAGGAGCTCCAGAAATAGCCATTAATCTGCTTGGGAAATACTTGAATTTTGTCTCAAAGTGATGGTAGACTGAAGAGCCAAAACAACAGCAAGAGGACATTATTACCTAGTACATATGTAGTGGCAGCATCTTTTGAAAGCAAGTAACTAAAAGAAGAGTGATTCAAAAATGAATTCTGTCTGTCATAATCTTATAACTTCAGGGATCATCAGTTTTTTAAAAAAGCTGATAAAGTGAAAAAGAGCAAACAGCTTTTGATGTAGCTGTTTTTAAGAAATTTCCTTTTCATTTGGCCCTCGGACTGTTGCTGTTTTGTTGATCGTTTGTGCGGGCATCTGTGGCACTGCCAAGAGAGATGTGGAACAGATTCATAGAATCATAGAATCGTTAGGGCTGGAAGGGACCTTCAAAGGTCATCTAGTCCAACCAATCTAGATTGAGAGTGATTGCAAAGCCCTGGGACAGAAGTGAAAAACATGAGAGCCCAGGTATTCTCTTTGATTTACAGGAGAACGGGAAAGCTTCAAGTAATAGTTGGATGCATCCTGTAGGTTCACAGGTGGCTGTACCACTGGTATCAAAGGCAGCGTTTTTTACTTCTGTAGCCATAGATCCATTACTAAAGCACAAGGACTATTAGTGAGAAATGGAATTAATTTGAAAAAGTGGGGTGGGAGCATCTTTGCCAGGAGGTTTGCACTTTGGTGACAGGGACTTCAAATTAGGAGTATCAGGGAATAGTGATAACAGCTTGCAGTTAAATGAAAGGACAGAGTGCTGCATGTGTGGTTCAGCGATGGCATTGAGAGTGCTGTTGGGAATTACAAAACCAGTTGGAAGGGTCTAACCTTGAGTGCCTTTACACACATGCAGCCTGGGAAACAAGTAAGAGGAGCCAGAGCTCCACATATGGGATTGGACAAGCATATCACTGGAATAAAGTGGGATAGCTCACATGCCTGGTGTTCTGTGATGGATGGGAAGAGGCCTTCTGAGAAAGATACCCAGGAAAGAAGAGAGGGACTTGACCTTTGTGTGAAGGAGCAGCTTGAATAAGTATATGGTCTCTGTTAAGGAGCAGGTAGCAGGATGGTTGAGAGCTTGTTCAAGAGGCTGGAAAGGCTGACATCGCAGGCTGACATGCTCCCTTAAGCAACTTGAGGAAATCTCCAGAGAGCAGACCCTGGTTCCTGTACAAGACTGTAACCTCCCTGATATTTACAGGAAGGGCAGCAATCCAGAGGGCTTGTGGAGAGTTCTGGGAATGACTTCAACCTACCTGCTAGGTGGGCAATCAAGGGTGCCGCTTTCCTAAATCTGATTCTTCCAGGCAAGGCAGGGGATGTGATATCTAGTGGCATCCTTGGCTGTAGCAGTTGTGAAATAGTTGAGTGCGAGGCTGTAGGTGGTGTGGGGAAGGCAAGTGGCAGAGCACACACCTGGAATTGGGCAACAGTAGTAAAGAAGACAATCTGGTGTTTGTAAAATGCCATAAATACCAGTTGGCTGTCTAGTACAAATCATCTTCTGGGGTGTATCAGCAAGACTGTGTTATGTAAGATGGGGATAATTATTCTGCTCGGTATTACTAAAGCTGCAGTTGAAGTTCTCTGCCCAATCTTGGCCACTGCTCTAAGAAAGATATGAGAGTTGAGCCATAAAAGTAGGAATATATAAACATCTGTGGGTATACAGCTTGAATATACTAGGTGCTTTTAGAAAAGAAACAAAATTAATGCAGAATGCATGTTCTGAAAGACCTAGTGGGCAGTTCAAGGATAGCCATCAATTGCTCTTGGTTTACCAAGAATGGAACGAGTTGTCTCAATTTGCAACAAGGGAGATTTAGGTTAGATGCAGATTAAAAACGATATTAAATTGCTTAAGCCCTGGTGCAGGGCTGGAAAGCTGGAGAATCACCATCCCTGGAGAGTGCTGAGGTTTGGTTTCATGTCTGTCATGGCTGTCTTAGGTACGTTTAAGGATGCTATGGATCCAGAAAATGAATTAGATGACTTCTTAGAACTGAGTAAATGACTCTGTTTGTCAGAATTACCACAGAATATGAACAACAGCATAATGTAATGGTTATATCTCTAATATGACAGTGTCGTTAAAAACTGATTTTTTGACTTTGTACTATGCCAATGAGTCAGTACCTGAAAGTCCATTGTCGTGTAAATTTGAAGCTTCCTACTAAGAAAAAAACGTTTTTTAACACTTTGTCTAGTATCAGCCTAAGTACTTCATCTTCCTTGGCAAAGAAGACTTCCATTGGTTTATGTCTTTGCATGTCAACAGTTTCAAGTCATGGTCCCCTCAGTCCAGTAGAATAAAAAGTATTAATTGAATCTAATTAAAAATAGCTTTTTAAATGAAGAAAATGCAATTTTTTTTTTTTTTCCCACTTAAAAATGTGTAGTCTTAGAAATGTTCTGGAATTGTATAATTATCTGCCCCATATCATTGGTGCTGTTTTTCCAGAAACACACAGCAGTGATTTAGTTCTTGTCCTCTACGTAACCTCAGGTATTGGGAGTGCGAAATGTGTGGTGCACTGATGTTTTGGTTAGCTTATGTCTGTTTTTTCCTTGAAGGAAATTCTTTTTAAGCAATCAAAATAATGTGGGGTTTTAAAAATTTTTTTTCCTACTCCTGACAATATCCTGTCAAATATAAATAAACTGTTTAGACATACTCTAAGATCATCAGATAACGTGAAACAGTTCTTAAAAAGAGAACTGTACAGATTTTTGCTAGTTTGAAAATGCTGCTGGTAAGTAGTTCTTCTATGCCCAAGTAGACCACTCTAGCTATTGAGTAATGTGATTTCTGTCCAGCAGATGGAAACAGGAAATGTTGTGACATCATCAGCATAAAAAGGAAAATGCCTGTAAGTGCACTAGAGTGTTTTGTCTCCCAGCAGATGGTGATAGTCGTCTTATTGCCTGGGCTAAAATTTGTTTTTTTCTTTTAATATGCCTTTTTTTGCTGCTGTTTAAAATGGGCAAAGGGTATCGACGGAATTGCCTTGCATCTTAATCTCTCTACTTCATTGTTTCTGTCTCCTCACTGAGGTGTAGTGCAGGGTTTTTTTTGATTCTTTTGTATTATGGAGATGACTTTGCCCTTCAGGCAGAAGAAAGGACTTTTAAGGATGAAAATCATGTTTTTATATCTGTACTTCTGAGCTTGTTCGTGATAGTGCTTTTACAATAAATCCAGTAGCGTAACTACTGAGATCATATCATCATCACCAAAAAAAGATATGCAAATAGTGGAAAAACTAGTCACAACATAAGACTTCTCAAATAATTGCAGCTGCTTGCAAAAACAGAAAACAAACCACAAAAACGTGAAATCAAATGTAAATTAGCAATAATCTAGAAATATTAGGAAACTAAGATAAAAAGAAACCTACCATACAAACAACAATGTTGAATTGGCGATTAATATTCCCCTATGAAGTGTCTTTCAAAACCAGTTCAGTAGACTACATAAAACCCCCATAATTTCATAAAGCAGGGATCTGTTCAGCTTTCCTTTATTTTGCACTAAAATTGTGTTCAAATCTGGACTGTATGTCCAAACCAACATAAAAATATTGAAGCAATTCAGAAACTGGAAGTGAAAAAGGGTTGTGAACTAAGCTGCAGAGTTAAACAGATGTCATGATTAAAGAGGCTTTTAACATCCCAGTAGTTAATCTAGTGTACTCTGTGTAGTGAATTGTACTATCACCTATTTAATGTAGTACAGAGAGTTAACTAAGAGCAATATTGCATGTTTAGAAGAAATTTCTTGGCTGACTTTTATTATAAAGAAATATATTCCATCAGAAGTGATAGAAGCCCTCCACTTAGGATTAAAACTGAAAAACAAAAACTCTTTGGACTGAGTTGTTGTTATCCAGAAGCACACTCATTAGCAATTACTCAGCCCTTAATAGTTGTTGCAAAAGTAGTTGATTTTATTTTCCAAGTATTTTGTTCTGTTTATTCATTAACTAACCTTATTTGTTGTTTGAATGTCATGGGAGTTTTCTTATTTGTTTTCAGTTTTGATCAGCTCAAGACGGCTGTTGTGAATTTGAAGAAACAAGCCAATAAGAAAAACGAGGGGAGTCTAGCTTATGTGAAAGGAGGTCTCAGCACGTTTTTTGAAGCACAAGATGCTCTGTCAGGTAAAGATGCTTTGCACTTACTAAATACAGTATAAAAGAAAAGGCAATATCTGCATGTATGGTTGAATTTAATATTAAAAATATTATACACTTCTGAAAGTGTATAATGAGTCCAAAGTCTATTGTGTTGGTCACAAGCTGGGACTGGCTAGCTGACGGTTGTGGTATATTTGCAAAAGATGGCACCAAAGGTATCTTACAGGAATTGGAGGCATTTGATGAAACTGCTTAGACCACAAATCCAGAAAAGAGAGGAAATGTTGAACTGGAGATAACATTAAGATGACTTACAAACGGTGGCAACGTAAAAACTTGGTTTTACGATGCCTTATCCCGTAGTCAGACTGTAAGATTTCCATGAATATTCAGTTCATTCTGACTTGGGAAATCAGATGGCCTTTATATTCTGCTTGCTATAGGGAAAATGCAACACACTAGTGAGATTAGCTTAGTTGTCTGTGCCATTTTTATATATATCTTTAATTTTTTTTTTGTGTGTATGTATATATATACACATACACACATCCTCTTAAAGCACAAAACGTCTCTCAGGTAAAATCTCATTGTGGGCTGCCATAGTCCAGCCTCGCTAGGGACTGTGCTGGATAAGAAGGTGACAGTGCTGGGCCATCCCCAGTAGGTTTGACATTTGTCACTGTGCTGTTCTTCATAGGTACTGTGTATTGCAGGATTGTCACTCCTGATGATTGATCCTGTGTTACAGGTACCATGGACCAAGAAAACTTACCTACTCATACATAGCCTCAGCCAAGCTAATGCTTCTGTTGGCCTTAGGAACACTGCTTTGGAGAAGTACCAGTTTTCCCTTGACTCACTCACAGGCCACGTGCTGTCTGATAGCCACTTCCATGTGTCAGGGAAAAGGGAAGGTAGAGCTGTCTCAGCTGGTGGTCCACCTGTATTAATGCCCCAGGCAGATTAACCTGTGCCCTGCCCTCCAGATGACAGTGTTTTCAAAAGTGGTTGATAGCTTTTGGCTACCTGCCTAATTTGGTAATTTTTAAGAGGAGAACTTTTTCCACAAGTGCGAACACACGTGGTTTGGTAGGGAACTTCTTGAGACATCTGAAGATTCTTCATGTGAAGAATCTTAACTCCTAAACGTCTTTATTACCTCACTCACAACTGACCTATTACTGATCAATTTTGGAAGACCTTGGCCTATCTAGATAGGTTCAATAACAGAAGTATTAAAGGATTTAGTGGAAATACTAAAGAATGTGGTGGCAGTCCATAGGAGAAGACACTAAGAAGAATCAATATTTGGCATTCTTTAACTTTTTTTTTTTAAATCTGAGTTTTTATTAAATGCTAGGAAAAATGAAAATAGGCTATTTTTTTGTAAGTCAAATATCTTAAAAATGTTGAAATCCTGATTTTTCTTAAATAGTTTGAAATCCTAAATAATCCTGAACACATACTGAAATGTGACTTGTTTTTCCACAATCAAATCTGCTTTGCATGTAGAGTATCAAATACTCTAAAGGATTCGAGTTCTGTTTCCGAACAGTTGCTGCTATGGATAAAAAGTAGTGCTGATGGACATGCGTGTTATCTTGTAAGATTATTAGTAGGACTTACAGAAAGCTAATGCAAACCGTAAATGTTGTGAGATTTTAGAAAGACTCAACACAATTTAGTGATTTTTCTCTTGTCCCATCTATTAAAGTATAGGCTTCTTGGATTTTGAGACTGGTTTTCTGATAAGAGGTCAGAGAGCAAGCATGTAAAAAACATTAATGAAACGATGATAGGGAAAGCAAACTCATTTATTTCACTAACTGCCATGTTCTCAATTTAAAAAAAAAAATAATAGCTGTAAATACCCTTTTGCATCTCTTATCTGTATCAGAGTGTTGTGTGTTCTCAATTTAAAAAAAAAAAATATAACAACTGTAAATGCTCTTTTGCATCTCTTATCTGTATCAGAGTGTTGTTTTTACCTAAAATTAGAATGCAGTCCTTCAGATAAATTATGAACTCAAAACGTGGGATGACTCATGTAGTTCTTGGTGCCACTTTTCATCTGTAACCAAAATGGCTTGTTTTTGTCTTTCTCCCAGTGATCCCCCATAAGTGCTCAAAAAGAAGCGGAATTGTAGCTTGTGTTGTTATAAACAGTGAATTAAAATAGTACTAAGAACTAATGGCCTTGATGCTGTTGTAGAAGAAAATTCGAGACTTGAAGTCTTAATCTCTTATAAGTGCAAAGCTGTAACACCTGGGGTTCAAGGGACTTACCAATACAATGTTTGGATTTTAAATTCTGATGCAAAGCTGTAACACCTGGGGTTCAAGGTGTTTACCAATACAATGTTTGGATTTTAAATTCTGAAACCAAATTCTTCGTGTGGATGCAGTGCAGGTCACAGCTGCCTTCGGCAGCATTTTAACGTGTGTTTCTCTGTTGAAATTTCCTATTAAATGTATGTGCAAAAGTAGTTTTAACTCTTTTTGGTCAAAAGAACCACCCTTGCATTTGAATTTCAGCTTTGTACTGCAGAACTGCTTAGTTGCCCTTTCTTCCTCCTTATGCAGAATATTCTTGAGGGAGTGTAGCTGGAAAAATTGCATCACTTTTGAAAGGCTTGAACCTATAATAGGTGCAATCAACAGCTAAGTTGGATCATGGATGTGGTGAGGCTTCCAGTAGTAGCAAGAAAACAGGGCATATTTGACGCCATCAACCAAATCTTTAAACTAGATTTGAAGGGGGAGGGGGGGAATATCAAGAATGGTAAAGATATGCTGGAAGTATCTGTAGAACAGAAGAAGGGACTTCTGCCAGGTGTCAAAGCTTTTCTCCAGAGCATTTGATCACTACAATTTTCTCAAAGGAAACACGACAAGAATTAAGCATGAGCATATTAGCATTGTTTTAGACAGATGCAAATTAAAAACAAACTCAAAAAAACCCAACCAACAAACAAACAAAACCCAACAAAACCCCTAAACAACAAACCCAAACCAACCAAAAAACCCCAAACAAACAAAACCCCCATTAATTCTTAGATGTACAATTAGGAAATTCAAGCTCATTAACACAAGAACATTAAATTAAAAATCCTGTTATACTCTGGCTGTACAGTGTTTGTGCAAGGTGATATGATGGCACTTTTCTGTCCTTATGCAAGTAGAGGTGAATTTGTGCGTCGTATTTTCTCCTTGAAAAAGTTGCAACTAGAATTTTCATGCATTTACACCAAACTACATGAAGAATAGTTTTTATTGGAAAGATGAAAGATTCTTTCAGCACAAACTCTTAGGGGCATAGCCTTGGTTCTGCAAACTTTCATTATTTCGTGCTGAGCGTACAACTGTCACAAACGAAAAGTGACTCAATGGGAAATCATTACTGAATACATCTAGTCTGTCTTCCAATAGGATTTGAATTTCCTGAGCTGCTTCATTTTGGTTGGGATTTTTTTTTTTTACTAGTTTCTTTTGGGAAGATTTCTAAAATCTAATGCATTTTCTGAAGATACATTTTTATTGATGGCAAAAATTTAGGCTCTCAGTTTTCCCTTTCAGATATCCTAGGACACATCTTCCAGCCTCAGTGGTTATGCTTTATAAACTGCAGGTCTGCTCTGTTGGTGTAGAGCAGAGCTGTCTGTGTGCAGTTGTTTCTCCTGGGTCTCCCTAAATTGGTACAGAATGTTACTTTTTTGTAGGAGACTCACTTTAAGAGGTGTAACACTTGCTTTACCAGGTACTTCATATTCTTCTATTTGCACATGTGTTTATACCTGCTTTTTTTAACTCATAGACATTTAACAATGTTTGTTTCAAATACATGAACTTGATCTGGGAACCTCTGAGTTACTGATTTCATTAGCTGGGATCAGTAGGATCAGCCTGATCCTAAGTGTGTTATCAGACTGTATTACACGTTTAAAGGACTATTAATATTTTCACAAGCAAGCAATGAAAACCATAGCAAGCTATCCTGAGATGCTTATTGTATTTTGTGATTTAGAAACTGTTTACTAAGAAAATAAGGGGTCAAATAGGGCAGAACCCTTGCTTGTTTGGTTGAATTTCTTGGAAAATAGAGTTGCCTTATCAGATCCTCATGTCTCTCTGCCCGTTAGCTTGGCTGACAGTTTGACAGTGACTTTGTTGCCGAGATGATGTTCCACAGGAAGTTTGTTTCGTCAGCTGAAGGGAGCTGTAAACTGAGCTGAGGAACTCTGCTCACCTCAACTTGACCCAGTTGTCAACAACAGGGAGTTCAGCTGATTTATTTCCCATAATTCTAATTGCAACCTAGAAAGAAGCCTTCCTAAAAGGGCTGCTGCTTATGTGCTTGTAGACAAATCGTGTTTTCTTGTCATGGGCAAGTCATGTCCGGCACAGAAGTCTTTGGAAAGTCAACAAATTAATTTCCTTTGGATATACTTTTTCAGAAGTGCTCTTTATAGACCCTTAGGCTGTAGAGTTTCTTTTTAAAGTGAAAGGGGAAAAAATAGGGAAATGACCACTTCAGTTGCTCAATTATGCAAAAACATGCAAGTATGACATCTGTATTGGCAAGTAAAGAAGATGCTGTATTGTCTTTGAAACATGGATTTGTTGAACAAATTGAAGATTTAAATTTGACTCAATAGTTTGCCATAGCAACGGTTCTTCTTGTGCAGGTACAACTACAAACACATTTTACATGATTTTCAGAAAAAGCCTATACAGAAAAAGCACTGCTGACTGTTACAGCACTATTCTTTTTTTCTCCCATTTCCACTCCTGTTCAGACTTGTGGCCTATTAGAATGCCAGTATGATGGGGCACTTGGACTGTAGTTGGCCTTTTGTCTAATATCTTACTTAATATATAAACTAGGATAATGTTTACCTGCTGAAATGATCCAATATCTGGTCAATGCCTGTTTTTTTGTTTATTTTTTTTTCTTCCTGTAGAATATTTTTACTTTTTATTCCCTAAGGCCCATTCTAGGATGAGCGTATGGGTGATCCAGGATC